TTTGACTACACTTGGGATACGTACAGCCAGCGAAGAAGTACATATGTATTTGTATGTATGTATGTATTTCTTGTGCTGGGATATTTCCTTCGACGGCCCTTTTGGCTGCTTGCTGTCTGGAATTGCACGCGTGTACCGCGTGACCATCAACAACAAAAACACGCTGAGATATGCCTTAAGGCGTTCAAACTCTCTCCTCTCTACTCCAGATACTTTTTTACATTTGTGTTGGTGGCAAAAGATACAATACAACAACCACAAAGATAAACAATAATTGTAAATTTACACTCTTTATTTTGGTGAGCGATAGTAGAGGACGACGTTGAAGAGAAATGGTATGCTTTACTCAATGCTTTCTTCAACATATCAAAATAATTGAATAGTTCTTATAGTGGAAAGTGAGTGGGAGCGTTATTTGACGTTAACGAAATACATTTGTACATAGTATTTACATATGAGTAGCATAAATGTGTAAGTATGTATGTATGTTTACTTGATTGTCACGTCATTGAGGCATGATCATAGCGTGCGTGCGATCACTGATATCGGCAGACGCTCAAACAGCTGATTGTTCAATTTACCAGCGGCATTGTACTTATTTTCGGCATTTTTGTTGCGTTCATATTTTGACCTCCAGATTACAATGTTTGCTGTAATGCGTACAGTGCATGGCGACATGTTTTGGTACATGCGCTGGGGGATCTCCCGGCTATTTTAAAAAAGAAAAAAAGAGTTATCTTTATAAAAAAAAAAAACCTGAAAAATATTTGCTTTTAGTATGAGTTTTTTATATAAACTCACCTATCATCGCAGACCGGTTAACAGTTGCTATCGTGTGTTTCATTATTATGCTTAAATTCCTTCCTAATTAATATTAAAAAAAAAAGGAAATACTTGACTCTGCGGAAATCAGAATGCATAATTAGTTAATTTACTAGTTTTGCTTTACTGCATTTGCAGAGGAAATAAATAATTTCTGTTATTTAATTTCATTTGGGTGATTTCGTTAATTTGCAAAAAAAAAAAATAAAAAATAAAAAATAACAAAATCGGTAATGCTCTCAAAGGAAAAGTTCAAAATTTTGTCCATTTATAATTTTTTTTTTGCTCATTTAATGTGTCTACAATTACTACTTTCACACATTTATCACACTTATTTATTTATTTATTTTCGATATTATGCACAAATTCTGATTCTATGATTTTTGCCATTTTTGGATATTTGTATTTAAATTATTAAAAAAAAACCGCTTATCTTGTACGCTTATCTGTTCATATCTATTTACGCATATGCATTTTTTGTCTAATTTGCCAATGAAATGAGTACAAGGAAACCATAAAAAATCACGCATAAACGCTTACCATTGGCTCGCCACCAAATTAACAATCGCCCAAGGCGAACTTTAGTGCAACAAATACATGCATACATACATAAATACATACTTACAAACAAACACAAAATGATACAAACTAACTAATAGAGCAATATAAAATAATAAATCGTTATAATTGCACTTGAATGGCTGTCAATGGTTCTAATACAGACAAACACACATACATATACATTTACTTACGTACCAGTGCATAAATATACAAACATGCATATATTTAAAAAAAAAACATATGTATGTGAATACATATGTATATATATAGAATGCATATATTTAAATCGATGTCAAAAATATTCCAGCGTTTATTTATTATTATGAAATTTTTTATGGTGGATTATACATTTATTAAAATGTATGTATGTTATAAAATGAAGTGGGAAAAATCCACGTATTATCGTAAATCAATTCAAATACTGTTTATTTACGATATTGATAGTGGACTACGCAGACAAGTAAATATTTATATGCCTATACACAATACACAAATATACATACATGCATACATACATGCAATACATAAATAACTGCAAAAAAAAAATTCAACACCTTCTAACTCTCAACATTCATTGAGAAACCAAGAAAAAGTTTCTATCGAAAAAGTCCGCCTTGGTATACATCGACTTGTCAGGTTCCTAAGGTGTTGGCCCTCAATACGCATATACAAACGTATGTATGTATACGTATTTATGCATTTAATATTCGCACTGTTAAAGTCAGCTTTGATACACTTACTGAATTACAAATGTTTAGGTGAATCGGTCAACTCAATCGGTCAGCTTTGACAGTCACACAAGTTGGACAGGCTCATCAGTATGCTGCGTGTGTAGATATCACATTGAATCGAATGGCACTTTACCTTTAAGAATATGTGCATGGAAATAGCTATTGGCTATGTGTGTTTTTGTATTTTTGCATTTTACACACATACATACATGCACTTATATTTCCCATCTCCTTCTTCAGGGGCGCGTCACCCACCTACACGCAATTTCCAAGTGCAAGTCTAACAGAATATATTCAAATACATACATACACATGTGATACCACTACAATAGCAATATTAGTGATATTCAGCACTTTTATGTGAACAAAAAAAAAAATTAAAACTTCGGCACGTGTATCCACATACGCGTATGTATATATGTATCTATGTGTATGTATAATCACCCTGCAGGGAAGAAGCGGACTAGTATACACAAATTCTAGTTAAATGCTAGTATTTTGAAGACCAAATCGTACTAGTTTGTTGTAAACTAGTATTATATTAGTATTTAAAAGACAAAAATATACTAGTTTGCCATAGACTAAAATTATGCTCATATTTTTCGTTAAAATCTGGACTACCTTACAAAAATTCTATATTATATGAACTAGTTTTTTGCCTACAACTTGATACCAATTTGACATTTTACAAGAAAAGCAGAATTCGTAAATAACTAGAAGCTCCGAATACACATTATTAGACTTTACGCAACAACTCAATAACCACATATTAATGTGGCGTTTCTATGTCTTGTTCAATTAAAAAAAATATATTATAACGGTGCTAATTAAGCTTCGAACACATAGATCAACATCTGATCAATTTCGTGGAAAGAAATAGTTTAAAAAATTTCAAGTAAAGTGAATCATAAAAAAATTGGGTTTTGAGGAAAACTAGTTATAAACTGGTATGAAGCAACCAGTATTATAACTAGTATATATGAACTGGTATTGTACTAATTAAAAGCTAATGCATGGACTGACAATTAATAGTTCGCCGGTAATATCGTCGTGTTAAAAATAAAAAAAAAACCAGTTGCATACAATGAAAATGGAAGATGAACTAGTAACGCGTAACAACTAGTATTTTTCACTGCAGGGTATACATGTATGTATATGTATAATAATATAATTATGTATATGTGTATAACATAAATGTGGCTTATTTTTTGACAGACCTTTATATAAGACATCTCTTCAATACATACTCATATATGTCCATATATGCATGTGTTTATGTCCAATTTAAGCGAAAGGAAGCAACAATTTTGATATATATATATATATATATGAATTAAATATTTATGATGTGTATAAATACCTTCATATGTATATATGTATAACTGTTTATGCTTTTAAATAGACCGACACACGCGTTCTGTGTCTACTTGCCCACGAGCACGCTTACCAGCGGATACCCGTGGCATTTGAAAGCGTTTTTTCTAAATTTAGAAATGTCGCGCTCAGTTTGAAATACACGTTAGTAAATACTGTTTAAAATTGGATTTTATTACTATTATAATTTTTTTTTTGTTTTTTTTTTTTGACAAATTTGTTCTATGGGTTTTACGCTACAGCTGCTGATGGTTGTCTTTCGCTTTTCAAGAGCTAGTTTCGAAATTCAAATTGATGGCTGTTGTTGCGAAATCATCATATTTCAATGTTGTGTGCTAGTTTTTATGTTTTGCCAAGTCAATAATAGCCAACAGGTTGGTCAAATGTAGGTATGTGTAGTTTGTATGAGGTTATTAATTAAAAAAATCACAAAAAGACAATGAAACTGAAATAATTTCAAAGTAAATTTTTCCGGTTAGAGAAGAATGAATTTAGAAAAATATACTTTTTTAAATTAACTCACTAAACCTATGCCGAATATATGTATAACTTTTATTTCAGAAATATGAATAAGTTATATATATATATAAATATATTAGTATAGCCACTTTTTGACTTTGAAACGTTTTTCGAATACTGAAATTTTATAAAAAATTATAGCAAGAGTAAAAGAAGAAATATGTACATATGTGTGTCTGTATGTAGCTGTCAAACTATACAAGGTTTGTTATTCCGCATGAGAAAAAAGCAAGAAAAATATGTACATATAAATATACAACAGGTGTACATAAAATTAAAATATTTAAGTGCTGAAGTTATTTTTTTTATTTTAATATAAATTGTAGACAGATAATGATGATCACCAAAGACTTATTTGGGTAGTGAAAGGGTGTTGGTATATTAATTTGCAAAAAATGGCAAAAAATTAATGAGACTCATTTTAATTATTCAAAATTTGAACAATGCCAGTGCCTGATGCTAATATCTAAGCGAAAAAAATCTAAAAAACAAAATAAAAAATCCTAATATTTATATTAAACAGGCAGACTTCCCGACGACAAGCTCAGCTAATTTAAGTGCCATGAGCGAGTCGCTAACTTTCATCTTCATTCGCCAACGGCAACCACATACGAGTATATGTACATATATATATGAGACTGACGGTATTTAAATTGTGCACTGACTGAGCACGTGGATGGCTAATCTAACAAAACGATCGATTGAGTAGTTTATAAGCACTTTTATTGATAAAATATTGACGTTTCACTGGCACAAGTTGACGATTATCTATTATAAAAATATGCATTTTACAGATGTTTTAGATAAAAGAAACTTTTTTATCTTTTATATTTATTGGAAGTACTAAAAAAAAACTAACTTAATTATGACTAATTCGATTATGATGTAAAAATTATTTTATAATTATTTAATGCATATGCCCATCTCAAGTGTGCCTTTTTATTTGCTTTCATTAATTTCAATTTTTTTTTTTGTGTTTTTCTATAATTTCAGAAACTGCCTACGACGCATTGCACGCCACGATGAACCACAATTCTCCAAAGACAGTATTGTTAATGTTATGGAGAGATTTGTGAAAACAGTTAAAGTTATGGATGATACCATACTGGTGCCGTGTTTGCTAATGGATCGGCAGGTGGGTGGAAAAATATATACTCACTAACTGCCTTTATGCGCATATTTATATATATTTAGCTAACTATACAGTATACGAGCGAAAAGTATATTCATGCGGAGAGACCATCTTGTTTTTAAGTTATTTATAATCAAATCAGATCTTTTCAAATGACCATTGAAATGAAAAGTGACTGGTTTGAGTTGATATACATATACAGTCGAGGTCCAAAGTATTATATTAAGTTACACTGTGGAATCCCCTGAAAAGTCCCAGATAGGCAATGGCATGACCATAGTGTCACTAGAAACACTAAATATACGACCTGTACAGCTACACTTCTGCATATCTTCATTAGGTTTTTGTAAATCCAACTACATAAATTTAAAAATATATTTAAATTTAAAAAAAATATTTATATTAAGTAAATCCCGTCTTTTTTTTTAAAGAGCGCAGTGATTCTCAGTGACATGTGCGTACTAGCATTGTACAATCGGTAGCATTCATGGCGTACCTGTCTTGAATCACAGCTACTCTTTAAAAAAAAAGACGGGATTTACTTAATATAAATATTTTTTTTTAAATTGACTCTTTGACTTTTTTCTCTTGACAATCACCCCAGTTGCAGACATACAGCCTCAGATCACCGTAATCCTTTACTTGTTAGGAATTTCAATAAATTTTGTTATACTCTTTAATGCTTATGTTTGATAAAAATCATCAAAAGCAAGAATTCATATTTTACATTTCTTGAGAAACCACACTTTTTTCAAGCTTAGCCTTCTACAAGATATTTTATTGCGTTGGCTTTTATTTCTGGCCATGGTTTTGATTTCTATATACATATATAAAAAGCTACATATATATATTTACATTGAGGTGTAGATATGATCAAACATTCCGTGAAAGTTTCAACATTTAGCCATTCAGTAGTCCAACAGCAACTTAGACCTTAGACCTTTTCGTTTTATCCAAAAATGTATGTAATATTGTTTTACGCTAAAGTCACCTTTAAAATGTTAATTATTGAACATTTCTCTTTCTCACAGGTCGGTGATAGCACAGATATTATACCAGCACCTGGCAAGAATTCCACCTCCAATCAGCATACTCTTGAACATTCTGTTGCACATGGCAAACGTAGCGCTGCACACTCCAAGAACGTGCACGAGTTCCTCAGCTCATCGGAGCTCTTCAACCTCTACAATATGCTGAAAGTGCTCAAGACTGATTTGCTCTGGACGGGCAAGGATGAGTCGGAAGATGATGAAAATGACGTATGTAGTGAGCAACGCGTAAACGAAGCGGACACAGTCGCCTATACACGTTATGATTCCAACAAATCGGATGCGGTTAGTGTGACCAGCAGTACAGAGGCAGTTGGCGCTGTTAGCAAAAGCGCAAGCACAGCAATAGCACCAACCACCACAGCCACGAACAAGAGTAGCGGTAAAGGTCACAATCGCTGTCCCTCCACCGCTTCAGTAGCCTCGATTGTCTCAACCACATCGGCGGGTAATCTGAGCGATTCGGAGAGTGAAATTTCAAATGAAAATGACTCTGGCATGGAGTCGGAAGGCCATAAGAGTGACAATCAACCAAGCAGCACTGAGTCTGTTAGCGGCAGCGATGACACCGATTCACGTGCCGCTGCTGTCGCCAACTCAACCGCCAATGCCGACAAAGCTACTGAATTGGCGAAACGTTGTCGGCGACATTTAAACGGCCTCTACCAATGTCTGGAACAGATGACAGAGGCGGCACATTATCTGACTGTGAGATACCAAAGTGATATTGGACCCGTTTAGGGACGAACTGCCGTAGAGTGTGCATAAAGCAGGATAGAGAATGTGCGAGCTGCGGGCACAAGAGTGCCCACTTTATGTGGAGTACTGTGTTAGGGGGGTAGTCAGTCTCTTTATTCGGGGGTAGGGGTGTCATAAGCGGGTTTTTTTTTATGTAATTATTTAATAATATTCAGTGTCTTTTTAGGGTTTTAGGGTTAGGCGATTGGGAAGACATTCAGCTGTGTGCGCGATTATGCCCAGACCGATGGAAATTGTTGATTTTCAATACAACAAAGTGTTGGTGCAATTAGTTGATTTCAAAAAGAGATAAAATATAAATATTTAAATGTAAAAATATAAAATATTTTAAAATATTTTATGTTTTTTTAATCATAAAAATATTGAAATATCACAATCATTTTGTTATTCCAAAACACGCACATACTGACACGTGCGCGTGAATTTTTTTCAAATACCAACATGCGATGTGATGTGATATGATATGCTGACTGAATGGCGCCGTGCGTGTGTGGGCATAATGGGCGCAGGCGCTAATTGTCGATTGTTTGTATGCAAATTAATTTCACAGTTTGTGTGTGTAGGGTATAAGCGGAGTAGCTAGTCTAGAAATATTTAGTGTAAAGAAGAGAGCGTTTGCAAATATAAATAAACTATTGTGCATGAATATATAAAAATATCGGATCAAATTGTATGAAGACAACATGAAAATACTAAAATCTGTACAAACACAACATGTAGCTATTTTAAAGCAGCAATTATATTGGAAAAAGTTGCTATCAAAATTTTTTGGAAAATAATTTTTTTTTTTACAAAAAAAAGTGTAAAGAGTAAAGTATGTATATATTTTTTTTTTTTGTAAGCAAAGAAGACCGCACAAGTGCTCTGCTCTCTGAATAGCGCAGCACATGACGAACTTTAAGGCGATTGCTCGCAAAAAAAGCAAACATGTTATAAAAATACTGTACAAAAACAAAATATTTTCAAATATTATTTCCATATTTATGTGATATATAAAGTTTTGGTATGCTCTGCCGCGCGCATGGCTGATTGCTCTGTACTATCTGTGTCGCTTGCGCTTGACGTGAGGTCATTTTAATCAAAGGCTCGGAGATGAAGCCGGAAATGTGCGCGCGAAATGCATAAATAATTGGAAGAATTGGTTAACTGTATACGAAATTCAGTGTCTATTTCGAAGACAGCACACAATTACAACTACTACTAAAAACGTATTATATGCATGAATGTGTGTAGAAACATTCTTATGTATGTATATCCTCATATATGTAGGTATGTGAGAAAAATTTATGTCATAATTAAAGACAAACATTCATATAAACATACACATATATATTGAATTAATGAAGAAACATAATAAAGAAGCCAAAGTTATTTAACAGTCAGTGTTGTTATATTGTTTGCCATGGGAAAGGGTGAAGAGCTTACGAGATGAGAGTATGAAGAGAGGTGAAAGCAAATTTATATAAAACAATAAACGTAAAACAAAAAATAATTGATTTTTGCGATAATGAAAAGAGTTTCAAGTGTGGAAATGGCTTTGATTATTAACAAAAAGGCCTAACTACAGTTTGAATGTGCTTTGTTTTTGTAATTTTTTTTTGACAATTTCTCAGTGTATTACATAGCGGCAAGATTAACGTCAAAAACTTATAGAAAATTAATTGAAATAAAAAATTAAGTTAAATTTTCTAATTGCGGTCGCCCCACGGCAGTAGAGAATGTCCACTCCTTCTAGTGCATGTCAGACATGAAATTAAGGCTCCTCGCAAAAAAACCATTAGCCATTTGGAGACGGCTTAGCATAAACTGTAGGTCACTCCATTTGTTGGAAAAAAAGCAAGATGCAAAACCACAAATTGGAGAAGGAGCTCGGCCGAAAATCGCTTCAGCAGTTACAAAGCACTCTCAAGCTCTGTATGTATTTCTGAAATGAATTAAAAGCTCCATACATATTTTCTTATATTCATACATATACGTATATAAACAATGGCTATTTCACTATGCTCTCTTATGGTTAGATTTTACGATAAGAGTTAGGCGAAATATAGCTCAAATGGTAATATGAAAGCCTTTTACGAAATTTATATTTCACCTAAATTAAATAATTGAAAATTTTGCATTTTAATTTTAATTAAATTAAATTTTTATTTCCCACAAAAATTCCTAAAATTAATCCAATGAGCGTTTTTTCATATGGTCGTTCGCAAACAAACCAAACAACAACAAAAGATCGCTGATGAGAAAGTGTGGCGGCTTTCGAAATACACATACGGTCTGCCAGTGTAACGGCATTGTGAACGGATACACGAAAAAATCTCTCTCATTGAGCATAGCACAGCAGAACAAAAGACTCAAGCAACGAACTTGAGCTTGTCAAAAGCGCATTTTGTTGAAAAATTTAAAAATAAAACAAAAATTAAATTTATTTACAAAAAATTATTTCGGCGCCTTTGTAAAAAAAAAATATTAGCGAAAATTTGAAGCAGGGAAAAGATATAGTAGGCCACATACTCGTAAAAATGTATTGTATGGAAAGTGAATTCAGTTGAATGTAGGCAATGTAGTTTGCTATACCACCAAATAATGAATATATTTCTGATCTATATATGTAAAATACCAAAATAATTAGAAAATGTAGTCACAGCGCACTTGATGTAAAGAAATAAAGTATCATGCATATTCCAGCTAAAAAGCAGTCGTGTGCGTAAACATAAATCTATGCGTACTCGTACAACGAAAGTCACTCAAAAGTGCCCTGAAATTTAGTTTGCAAGTTAATGTCAGTGAAATTTTGTATAGCTTTAAAAAAAAATAAAATAAATATATACTGTTGTGTACATACATATATAAAAGTATAAAAAACAAATAATTAAAAAAAGAGATTATTTTGTACAACAGCATTGTTAGTTATAAAATCTTTAAAAATTACATTTATATAATTTTTTTATGAAAAAAAATGTATTAAGAGAAGTGTTGTTTGCATAAAAAAGCTAAAAATTTTGTTTATATGGATATAATATTAACGTGACGCTCTTTTTTATTTAAACTCTGTATGTAAAGTTTGTTTATTTTGCTTATACACGCATATACATGCTATGTAGTTATATAATTATACCAAATTAGTGTACATACATATTTAAAACAACTGCTAAATATCGGTAAAAAGTGATGTAAAAACGATATGAAATAATATAGATTTAAATTGAAAATGCATAAAATCATATACATAGTATATTTAAATAAATGAAAATATATAAAATTTTCAATGATAAAAATTATCAAAATATTTAGTTTTTGATCTTTAAATGGGAAAATAATTGGGCTTAACGTACCAAATTAAACGTCTTCAGCCAGATTTAGAACCAATCAGCCCGATTTCGGTAATACATACTGTATTCTTATAGTTCTTATATCTATGGGGGACAATCCGCATGACGCATGGAATCCTTTTTGTTTGAGCAGTAGCTAAGCGGTAAGTTTGGAGAAAAGACGTAAGTGCCATGATTTTCGGTTTTATTAAAAATTTATTAACACAAGACATCTCCGAAAATCTCATTGCAATATATAAATTGGACCAAATAAAAGTTATATACTAAATTGACTTTTCGGCTTTTACCTCTCCTTTGCTCACAGGCCTCGTTATAATTATATACAACTTAATTCTAATATATACCGTTGCTGATAATCAGGAACATTCACCCTGGTTGCCGACTTGATTAAACTTATCGCCCTTTAACGTCTGAATTCTTCGGTTTAAGGCACGTTTTTCTATTTTATTTTAATCATGGTAAGTCGTCAACAGACCTCAGAGAGAAACACTCCACGATAAACACTGCCCAACCCATTATCTGTTTAAAGACATTTTACTGTTTTTACTTGGTAGGATGCACTGAGAAAATTTGAAAGTCAAAATTCCTTTTGCCTCCTGCCCTTTTAAGTTTAGTTATAAGTTTTTAGTGAGTTAAAAGCCTATTGCCATTTAACATCTCCTTTCCATTGAAGAGTAGTTAAATGGTTGGAAATATGTTTAAAGAGAGTCCATAGCTTGCTTTAAGCTCTTCAATGGAGTTCCTTTGGATTATTGACATAAGTAATATATGGGAAAGTCAAGAGCAGTTTCAGTGAAGTCCAAAACTGACGTAGACCCTCAATTGATAAAAGAAAAGATTGCTAATGAATTGGGCTTTGATGCCATGGATGTATAGCGTATATTAAGCTATCAACTGGGAAACACGAAGAAATCTACTCGAATTTTAATTGATGCCCAAAAATAGGCTCGAGTGCATTTTGCTAAATATTTTCTAAACAAATTGGAAAGTCGTCAGTTTAGCAGTTCTATAAGCACGATCCAGAAACCAATCAGCAGTCCATGGTATGAAGACCAACAGGAGCAAACCCACCCGTAAAATCTAAGCAACAAAAGTCAACAGCATAGTAATGACGTCAGTTTACTTCACCCGTTCTAAAATCGTAGCAGCTAAACCACTCGTTAAGGGTCAGACGGTAACTGCGAAATGGTATACTGAAGAGTGTCTACCAAAAGTTTTGAAAAATTTGTTGGAAAAAGAGAATTTCCAGCGCTTCTTTTCACATCTCGACAACGCGCCATCCCAAACTGCTGAAATAACGAGTAATTTTATTGCGATCTCTGAGATCGGAAAAATACGTCCAGCACCCATTTCCCCAGATCTAGCACCGTGTAGTTTCTGGGTATTTCCAAAAATTGAGAAAAAAAAATTTAAAATTAAATGTCTTTAATAGCATCGAGGAGAAAATAAATGCGCTCAATGCTGGCTTAAAAATCAAGATTTTGAAGACTGTTTTCAGAAGTGGATCTATAGACTCACGAAATGCATTGAAATCAATTGTGATTATGTAGATAACAGATAGAAAAGGACAAAGATTACAAATAAATCCAAACAAAATTTTTTCTGATCAACTTATCCTTGTACACATATTTATACGGAATAATGCAGTCCGCAGATCTTTGAGAATCTTAATTAAAATTGACGGCGGCGCAGCCTCTTATACTGCCGAATATCTAGTAAGACAAATAAATTAATAAATAAATAGATCAAAACGAATGTACACCCTTAGTCTAAGAAATGAGTGTCTAGGAAAAATTTCCAGAGCACGAGAGGGGGTGCTCTTGTATGATTATGGCAAATTCAAGTCAAATAACACCCATCACCTGGCGCAGGGTTTAATCTTTCTTCTTGGAAACTATGGGAAATGAATAAATACTGGTTTGGGGTATAAAATATTTTTCCTGACGTAGAATTTTTTTTTTTTTGCATGTTCCCGTACTATAGTACTTTACTCTAAAAGTGATGTTGCTACTTTTTTATAAAAATAATGTTTTATATTTAATAATTTAATTTAATTATTATATTTAGAAATTATTTCAGGAATTTCAAGCTTTTTCTATGCGCTGTTATATATAATATTAATATTAAAATATTTTTTTTTTATCTTTTAAACGCATTTATCCCTACTTTAACTGAACGAAGTTGAAGTTTACTTGTGGCATTAAGAAAAATGGTACTTAAACTTCATGCCGCTAGAAGTCGGAAGGTTAATGTTTTGTACATACGTCAGGCATTTAATTTTGTATACGTCTCAGAGCAAAATATGTTGGAACCGAAAATTAGATATGTGTCTGTTTCGAATATGCGATGAAAGTTTTAATGAAAGTCACCTTAAAAAATCTACACAGCATTGTCCATTGCACGCACCTATTTATAGACAGACGCGGACAAACAGATATGGCTCTATCAAATCCTCTATATCTATTTCGCAAGTTTTTTAATGTTAAAAAAAAACTGTGGCTGAACAAAATTTATATACTCATACAAACTGTGCACTATGAACAAATAAATTCGGAGGCAATAACCATATAAAAGTGGTTAACAGTCTGTAAATAATTTGCGTTAATTGTTTGGGCTAAAGTTCATTAAAGTGCTAATGTTATGGTACGATAAATTGTTCACTGAGTTAATAAAAAAATAAAGAAGGGAATATATGACGATAATAATCTTCTGCATTCTTCAAAGTGGGGTTAAAGTTTTTCAAGTATTATTATTATTACTAGTAGAGCCGGTGAACTTCGCCTCGCCACAATTCCATGTTCGAGGAATAACTTCAGAGTGATAATAAAATATAGACAGTTCAAATCTTAATGTGAATTATTTGAATGAAGTCAAAGTCAGTTGTTATGTACGGTTTGCCAACACGCGAGCAGGCAACGTGGACTCACCATGGTCACCAACCACAGTAGTCAAATAACCGTACCATAAATGCGATAGGAATAGATTGAGGATGTGAAAAGAGGATCGACATTATCCCCCTCTCTGTCGCTTTTAAAGTAGCCGTCGACAAAATA